TTCGAGACAGTTCGGCTACCCCAAATGACGGTCTGCTTATCCCATTTTTTATAGCGATACTAATCTGGTTTTCCCATTCCCTCAACTTTCCGGCTCCACGACTCAAAGGCTGTGTATGATGCTACGTCCTTGATTTCAACATTACTTGTTTACATGGATCTCCATAAGTACAAGCTCCTAGACGAGCTTATGAAATACTTACAATGGCTGTAAACTTCGTCGCAGGAACGCCTCGATCAGGCCAATTTTCCCACTGATAATGAGTGATAATTTTGAATGTATCTTGTCCAAATTCTTTGTATTCCAGTTTGAGTTTAGATACACGAACAAAGTGATCTTCTTTGGACATGGGAGATACCTTAATGTATCGAAATTCATGAAATTCAAGCAAAGAGGAGTTCTGTTGGGGTTCGCTGCGCCCACTTCAGCATATGTATTGAAGACGGGAAAGATCCCAGAAGCTCATCCAGTTTCTACACATTTACCGGATTTGTTACTTTTGAGATTAATGGATATTTTTGAGTTACCAAACATATTTTACGATCCCGTGGAAAGTACAGGACTTGGGAAAGGGCAGATAAACAGCTAAAACTTTTTCTTTTTACAGTTAGTCATGATCGCTAAACTCACATCTAGATTGGTAACAGTGATTTTTCCATCATTGTCCTCTCCGAACACCATCACATCGTCAACATTGAGTGGCCAATATTGCTCACATTTGTTTTTATCCTTGAAAAAGATCGGGTAAACAGTTATGCTGTTTATGGAGGGCATAGGGGCCCTATAGTTCTTGAGCAGTTTGCGACAGTACTCAGTACTTCCAATTCCATGTCAGTAAAATACTCTGTCCTCATGATAGAACTTGCGGAAACCTACGCATTCAACTGTGTTGCACAGCATAACGACGTATTCAGCTTTTTCTTGGATAACCATAGCCCAAAATGCTTGCATTGTAGTGACAAGTGGTCCCTGAACGGTATTGACTAATATACAGCTGACTGCTCACTCTTCTAGCTTTTTTGACCTTTTAACATGCTCCAAACTCTTCAAAAACTTCATGAAACTTTCAAATTAACAGTAATTTCTACCCAAAATCGAGATGGGTGTGTGGCAGGACATTTGGAGGCAGACCTTAAACGACCAACCCCTGAGGCGCACGCTAGGGGTTTCAGACCAGTATCAGTGGCTCACAGCCGCCCAGAAAGTCCCGCCCACAAGCTTGGCTGCTGCTTATTTACCCTCACCGCAGACTTACAGTCGCCCACGAACTCCCGCCTACACCATCGACTCCTCTTATTTGCCTTCACCGCAATTAAGTTACATTCAAGTGGGTTGATACGGTAAGCATGATCAATTACCTGAGTACAAATGAAGTGGTTGTCTTTACTCGGGGTGGCAACATAATTTGCATGGATATAATCGTTATCGATTCCGGGCCATTTCAGAATAACTCGACGTGCATCCTGACAAGGTACATCCATATACCTACAAGTACATGCACTTTTATCCTAATCCTTTCACCTGTATTTGTAGGGTGAATGAAGTATTAAAGAAAAAATCACCTGTTAAGAGGTCGATTAGCAGCGAAAGCATTCGTTGTCATGTTTTCGGGCACCCATCTACGCAACTGACGGAACTCGGTCACCAGGCTTGGTGCTCCCATGTCAAGTACTCGATTTACCCATATACTCACCTGGAAAGTTATTTGCACCTGTCATCGAGCAAACCGTTCAAGTACCCTATTATCTAACATATACTGGAAAACGTGCTTTCGAGAATGAGTTCATGCTACTGGGTACGAACAGGGGATAGGGGGATATTCTCCATGAGGGACTAAACAACCCCAATGAAAGTGCGATTGCTTTTAACTGCCCAGAGGGTATTCACTGGAAAAGGAAATCTGTGCGACGTCATGCATCAATCTATTGGCCACCAGGGCTTTACAGAGATTTCTGGCGACAAGGAAAACGAGGAAAACTGGTAATCATCTCGTCAATTGGAATGCGGGTTTCCTTGATGCAAGGTATCCATTGGGTGAGTCAAATGTGAGAAATTCGGGTTTTGAAAGATGAGGGGTCTGAGCCATTCGGAAGGAGCTATAAGTCTGCTCTGTTTTGAGTGACGGAAGGAAGCACCATAGTAATGATGTCTCAATAGAAGAATGGTCCAACTCGAATCCGTGGCTGTATCATAGCAAATCAAACCTGTTGCAATATCTGCTGCTTATTTTTGTTGTTTTTGAAACTGCTATGCACATTTGCATTTTCCATTGAGGGTTTTTTCACTTTTTTGCCATCGCCCGATTCTTCCGGTATTTTGCCTGGAAGCTACAGCGTTTTTGGGTCGGCTTTGGAAAAATAAGGTAGGAAGTCAATTTGTGGTTGCAGGGCGATAGAGTATGGACCGTATTGAAAGGTACCGATCTCTGGGACAACCTGATACCGAATTACCCTCAGGACAAGATTCCCAGCATATTAAAGCTATTCGCGAGGGATGGAGCCAGGCAGACCGGAAGACGGCCCGTTCTCCTTGCTCGTAAAAGAATGCTGTGAAATCGCTGCGACTACGAGCCATACTCCATCACCCGTAGGGCTTCTTGGCTTGATTCTTTAAGGTCCAGCCTAGATGGTAAATTTCAAATTAAAAGCACAGTTCACATAAAAATGGTTTCTGAGATTTCACCATAGTATAAAGCTTGCCCTTATACCATAGTTATCGTTATAAAGGCGAAAAACGTTATGGATAGGGCGCAATAAGGGGCCAGAGATTGTATCGTGTGAATGGCACACCCATCGTGGACGAGTTTCAACGGCTTTGTGAAGGCTGCACGATCTCAGGAGACTCCCATGTAGGAAGTTCAAACAGCTTGTCATAACCCATGGCGACAGTGAAAGGCAGTTTCGGATAAATTCGACTTGATCTAGTCATCTCTTTGAGCAATGGGAGCAAGTTAAATCTCGTCCAAACACCCTTTACATGCCATTACCGTCAGGGTGATCTCGTACAACCTCCCTTTCCCTACTTTTGAAAAGCCTTGAAGTAGGCGGATTTTCTCACTTTCTTCGCCACCGATGTACCCCTCTACATCAATATTTCCGCGTTTCTACCCAAAAAGGGTCTAATATCATCTAACCTCAATATTATCGTGAACCGTCCCCTTAATCTCGCTCTTATTTACCAATTACGAATAGAATGATTATTTATAAAACTCCCGTACCAGTTCTAAATTGCTCTAGCAGTGTAGCTGCTGTTCCAGAAGAACCGTTTCGTGTATTACCAAATGGACTGTCATCTCCTCTACCTTTCCGTGTTCCATGTTTAGAGCTACCAGCACTCGCTTGCTCTGATCTGAAACAAAGGAATGTGCCTACGAGTGCTGCTGTACAGGAAGAGACACTCAGAAATCGTTGTATAATCTTCGTTATCTTTATCTGATGATTCGAGGAATGACTATCTTGAAAGATGCAGAAGGGAGGTGTGCCTTTAGGTTAGAGTGTGGATTTTCTGGAGCGGTTGCGCGGTGGGATGATTCAATCGAGCTATTTGCTTTAGTTGAGGGGAGTACGATACCTCGAGACTGATAAGTGAGGAACGTTGCTAAGAGCCCACTGCCTTTTATCAGCTGGAGCTCCTGAGTGGCTATCTTTCCCTTGACTAAATCTCAGTAGACCTACCCTACCGCTTTCGAGACCATTAGTATCCAAACGAGAAGTATCCAAACGAGCGATACACCCCATGGGCACCTGTGACCATAGAATTGAATTAATAGGGAAAAGGATGAGTTCAGATGGAATAGCGAACTCGAATGCAGCTATGCAATGCAGAGTGGTTTCCAACTGACAACAGCTTTAGGCAGGGGTTTTCTCACAGAGACATCATTTTGTGAAGTTAGTTTCTTTAGCCCCAGGACTGCCCTCTAGTCAGCCATCCTACCGAAAATGGACAAGTGAAGGTTCTTCTTCCAGAGTGTTTTGGAGATCAACTCACTTTCTAGGTATGCACATTTCAAATGGAGTAGTTTGATGTGTAGTTACGCTGTTGTGGACGAATGACCAAGCGGAGGCGAGGACGTTGTAAGGAATGAGCATGACTTGTTGACTACCACCCAACCACAGCATTGATCTTGTATCAGTCCATTATCAGTTTTTACTTTTAGAAATATTTGTTTACTGAAACGGTCTGCATCACGACAAGTCCATTAGAAGTAGTACTTACTTTTATCAAGCCGAGGTTGGTACTTACGGTGAGACGGGCAGAAGGACCGGTACTGTGTAATCGGTTTGCCGCACGCGGCTGTCGCAGATCATTTGCTTCGCCGGATACGCGGTTATTATTTTAGGCATGATTCTACTGTTGATTGCATTCTGCTACACTCCGCGCGGNCGTCCCTCGCGCAGCGAAGCGACAATTTCGAGCCTACTGCACCACACTCGTTCATTCCACAGCCGTGAAAGCATTTTTCACAGAAATCGTGACCACGACGGTGTTTTGAGACTACAAACTAAACTTTTGCCTTACAAAGACTTAGCCTTTGCTAACAGATCGGACGGGTTCTTATAATTTCATGAAACATCTCCTTCATTTCAATCAGTACACCAGGTTACACCCAGTGTAGGAATGAATCCTTGCACAAGCCTGTGAAACGTATGACAGGAGTGGGGGGATTGGGGATAGAGTCAGTGTGATAGAGATTGTTCTAAGGAATTTGACTGGTGATAGAAGCTCCTTTTATCACTTCGTTGACTCCTTGTTTCCATGAGATTGCTTCATGGAAGCCTAATAAGGCGAACAAGCATTGCTCTCAGAAAAAGTTCCAAAACACTTCGTAGAGGTATTTTTACTGGTAACAGAAAAGACTAGAAAAAGCGAAAAAAACAATGGAAAGACTAAAAGATTTCGGAGAATTTCAAGGCATCGTGGCACTGCCAAATAAAGCGTCCCTGAAAGTGGAAACCACAGAGTTGCAGAATCTGAAATTCAACTCGATCAGCTCAGGCATGCATGCAAATCAGTGAAGAATAAGATTATCGGCAGCCGGGTTGAGAAAATTACTTCTTCGGCTATAAACTGGTAACATCTTGAGGACCAACTTGAGTCCACTGGGAGCTCACTACATTGGCACCAAATTTAGCAGAAAAAGCTGTTTTCTGTTAGATTCAGAAAACTTACCGCATCTTCTGTTCATTGTCAGCCATAAAATTCAGCTTTATAGGATGGATAAACACTAAATTCCCATGATACGATTCCGGCCAAATAATCCGATCCTCCCAAAGATATTTGTAATCGGAAATATGAAGCCTGAATATGCGATTACCAGTAGTCAAGGTCAGTCATAGGGATGTGCAAACGTATTTGAAATGTTTCTGGCTTTTTCCTCAAAAATGACTGCAGATTTCTGAGAAAGGACGAAAACAACTTGAGTTTAGCCGGCATCGGAATCGGAACATACAAACAGAGGAAGCGTTACTGCAGTACAGTCGCGTCCTACGGTATTACCTGTTGTGCGGTACGCTGTACAAGAATTTTGATATGGCGATTTCATGGAATACTCCGGCTTCGTAAAAGATATTCATCAATTGGGAGTAGTAGTCAAGCATAAACGCCGGAACATAGTACCTAAAATATTTTAGGATAGAACAACAAAAATTGATCGATTTTTTGGACAGGTTGTTTACTGTGTATCGAGAGGTGGATTTTGTAGTTGAAGATGATTCAGTGGACTTTCTTCATTAGGATTGCGAAAAGATTTTCAAATGGTCACATACAGATCACTGATGCTCCACCCGTCTACTTGAGTCAGCTGGTGGTAGGCCTTTTGTTTGAAACCATTTGAGCTCAGCTGAAAAAAGCGATCATATACTCGCATTCATTTTTTTGCTTATCATTTCGAATAATTATTTCCTTAACGCAATGAGTTCTTACCCCATCCCGATAGATTTCGAACATCCGCTGTACTCCTTCATCGTTTTTATACTTTTTAGTAATGAGAGCTAGAGCACGTTGGACGGCGGCTTTTCCTAAAGTCATGTATATGGAAAAGTAAGTGTTTAGGATCTTTTCCCTCTTCACCATAAGAAAAGCTGCCAAGGAGATACCCTCCTGGTGCAATGGCTTCTGGGTTGAAGCCCTAAAAATGGAAAGATGGTAAGACAGATTCCTCAGTCTTCAATCCCGTGACAAGCCTGAGCCTAGTCTAGCTCAGTCAGCATCGGTACTTCTAATCTGGGAGGGTCCAGTAGCGACCATTTCGAGAACGTGACAGAACAAACTCATTTCACCTCAAAAAGAGATGAGAGTAGGGATAGTTTCATTCAACTGCTCTAGCATACTCCGTGCACCAATCATTTCCTCGAACTCTGAGTGCAGGAGGTAAGAGAAGCACACCAGTTTATGTAAATAAAATTAAAAATAAAATATTCCTATGGAGTCTCAGTAAAAAAATAAAAAAGGTAACTTCTTATCCCAAGCATTGTTCCGGTACTCATCAATTACGCTGGAGTAAAAGAAGCCTCGAATAGCCAGAATGAAGTAAAGTTTGGGGTCTTGTCCAGCAACGACGCAGCCGCCTCTCGGCTTTACAAGAATCCGTACCTATTTCAATAAATGCAAAGGGAATAATGAAGCTGTTCACCGTGTATGGACGGCCACCACACTCCCAAGAATTGCTTATAAGTAATTCCTGTAGGATGTAGCACTTTTTCTAGAGGAAGCGAATGCCAGAAATTAAACGTTACATCATCTGACATCACGAAATAACCTGAACAATCACATATAAGCAGTAAAGATAGTAAAAACTTCAAAAAGATTGTCAGAAAAATTTTAACTCACCTTTCACATCTAACTGCAATTCCCTTGCTCTGACAAGGCAATGATAAGCAAAAACACCTCTGTTCATTTCATTTTCAGAAAGATTGATGTAGTTGAAAGGGGTCACAATTTCAGGAAATCCTTCTGAAGTAATAAAATTAGTAGATTTGTTAGGTAGGGAATGTGCGAAACATCGCCAGAGTTCTAGGAAAGGATCTCAACCATAACTCAGCAAAAAGCCATCTTAATTGCTGGATCAATTTGCTAGGTAGATGGCGTTCATAATCAGCGAAGGTGCAGCCGACTGCCCTTGTTGTAGATGTCTATCGATTGGTTACGCGCCGCTGCGCGTTGGTTAACATCCCAGCGGTGTTTCCAGCTCGAATAATTACCATTTTTGAAGAATGTACTCATTGCATTGGGTGATGATGACTGGGTAAAGTGGTTTTTGAACTCGTACTACAGGGTGCGCTTCTTTGCGCGCGTCTGTCGAAACTAGGTCACCCCGCAGCCACCGCATGCGGCTGGTCAGCCCGCGATACTTGACAAATGTCCCTGTTGTCAGTGGGGCATACGATTTGCGCTTGGTCCACCGCACTCAGCTCAAAGGGAAGATAACATGGACAAATGCAAATCATTCGCTCCATTGACAATTGGTTGTACTGTAATGTCACCTCGAGACCTCAGTGGGGTGCGCCGTGCGCGAAGTGGGCGGGATGACCTACTTTCTACGGACGCGCGCAACGGACGTTCTCCGGTACTACATATGGGAACATTCCACTTCGAAATAACTAGTCAGGAATTACGCGCGCTGCAGGCGGGTGGTACAGTCGCAGCAAGCCACGATTCTTGGTTAGTTATCTCGTTACGTGCCCATCGCCATTTCGGTGAGAAATGTGACATTTGTGCATACCTTTAGCCATGAATAACTCGGGATAGAATGTTCCACAAAATATCGTAACTTTGAAATGTGGCTGATAGAGCCGTTGTAATAAGCCGATTGTGGATTTCCACGGAAAGTTGTTTGTAATCAGTAATGCCTAAAACGATTCTGTTCAAAATACTGACTTCTATCACTACGCTGGAAGACTGAACCCTTGAAGCAAGCTCTTCCCACACTTCTGCTTTCCGACGAGCATTTGCAACTTCCTCTGGTGTCGGTAGCTTCATATTCAGGCCTCAAAACAATAATTTACAATTCTACGAAGTATAAAGGTTCTTTCTAAGGATCTTAGGATTCTTCAGTAGTGAACCTGTTGACAGTAATGCTTTCTACTAAAATTTTTGCTGGTAGCCAATTCATGGCGCATTCATTGATAGCGTTTAATTTCGAGCGATTCTCCCAATCACACTCCGAACACTGGAGGCTGCTTTTGCTTGAGCATAGAAACAAAATTACCTGGGTATTCCGCATTTGTCCCACACCACTGTTCCACATCCTTGAAATTCGATAATTGCTTACGTGCCAGAGCCTATTAAGTTGTAATCATCATACACAAACTTTTTCGAGGGTTCCAGAAGAAACTTCGGTCTTACATAGTATTTGTCGTGTTCCATAAGATACTGCTGTTCTGGATCTAATTGAACGTCCTCGCTACCAGCTCAATAACAATCAAAAATGGATTTTACAGAAGAATTCACCAGACTGTTATACTTGTATACTTAGGTGTTACATATGTACATAGATCATCAAATTTCCTTGACTTTCTCACCCAATCGCGTGATTAAAGGCACAGTTCACGATAATTTTGAGGTACCCTTTTCAGGTAGAAAAGTGGAAGTGTTGATGTACAGGAGTACATCGGTGG